CTGTAGGGCTGCACCTTCGCGCGGATCCGCGGGATCCCGGCGCTTGCGGTGCGCAGACGGGCCTGCCGCCGCCACGGTCGCCGCCGCGCGCGCCGGCGGCCAGCCCAGGCGGACTCGGCGCGCGCGGCGCTCGAGACTCTTCCATACAGACCCGCGAGCCGCGCCATCGTCACCCTCAGGTCAGGGGCCACCGCACAGAACCACCCACTACCTAATGCGGGGTCCTTATCCAGCAGGCCCTCCACAAAGGCGTCTGGGTCGCGGCTGATGGCGGCCGCGCCGCCGTCCTGCAGCTGCTGAGTCAGCGTCTGGTAGGCGGCCGAGTTGTACGCGCCCAGGGCGCCGCGGCCGCTGCCCTCGAGCTGGGCTAGGATGACCCTTGGGGTTTGGGGGCAGGGTTTTGGATCGCAGGGGTGGGGTTTTGGGACGCGGGGGAGAAGAACTGCAGGTTCAAGGGTGGTCGGTGACGGGCTTGGGGTGGGATTGCGGGGGCAGGGGATGTGGGTAAGGGTTTTGGGGGCTGGGTACGGGGATCGGGTTTGAGGGGCGCAGCCGAAGAGCACTCCGCAGCTGGTGTATGCGAGGAGCCAGGGCGCATGCAGGGGCAGCTGACGGGTCCCAGGCACATGCCCAAGCAGCTGCCGCAGCGAACGATGCCATGCGCACGCGGGCCCCTGGGATGCGGGCCGGCGCATGCTTGGGGGGCCGGGGGTGGCCCAGCTGCGTCCTGCGCGCGCGCTCTCACGCACTTGCACGCGACAAACGTGAACAGGCTCCTTAGATGGTTGGCGGCCTTCTGCTCGGGTGAGATGCCCCCAAAGCTGTAGCATGCGGGCATGAGATAGGCGGGCCGCGGGCTGTTTTGGTGCTTGGCGGGGTGGTTGTGCGGCCGCTCGAAGCGTCTGAGAAAGCGGTGCGCTGGGCAGGGTTGACCATTAGAGGAGCCTGCAAACGCTGACGGTGGACAGCAAGCGCCGCCGCGCTACTGTCCAAAGACGCTGTACACTGAGGCCAACATGTTCAGGCCTCCAAGTAAACAGCATGCACACAGCTGCGATCTGCGGTGCGAAGTGCGCCCGCCTGGCTTGTGCCGCTGACCGCCCGCGCGAGCCGCGCGAGAGCCCGCACCTGTCAGAGGGCACATACATGCCACCAGCACGCACGAGTAGCGGTCTCCGCCTCCATGTCTGGCTTGCCAGGGGTCTCGCACCAGGGCTGCGAATGCAGCAGGACGCAGATCGCATCAAGAAGGACGATAACACGGAAAGGTGCAATCAGAGAAAAATTGGTCTCAAGGGCGAACTGGTCAGCTGATGGTGCCATGCGTGTACTCTCCTCCTTGCTGGTCAAGAGGAGGCAGCTGCCGCACATGCCAAGACCAGTGTCAAGTGACCTACACCGCCTCGTGGCAAGAAAAAATATGAACTTCGGTGTTTCGGCTTTGCTTGCTGCTTACTGAACAAGCTCGAGTTGGGCCTGGGTGAGTGCAGCGGTGTCCCAGCGAAGTTGTTCGAGATCGCAGCCTGCTTCACATCAAAGAAGTCAAATTATTCTAGAAATCTGACTATCCTGTCGCGGCACGAACGGTTTATTGAGGGCTGATCGATCGGGCCACCTTGCAGTGCAGGTCTATTCTAGACGCTTTGGCCCGCTTTGCATTGAGGAGGGGGACTTGAAGAGAGTCATTTTCACTTCCTAGCCGAAGGCACAGGGCAGGTGGGCCTGCAGGCACCTTTGCCGGGGCGGTTGGCTGGCCAGTGGAGTGCGTGCGCATCGCGCATCCCATTGCGCGCTGCGTGCCGCGCCTTCTGAGCGCACTGCATGCGATGCCTGTCGCCACATGCACCGCTGCCTGTCACCAGGCGCAGGCGCTGCACAGGCCACTGGCACGGCCGCGCCCAAAAACGCGTCCCAACCGCAACCCTCTAGTGGCCCACCCCTCCCCGCATCACGTGCCTCGCCGCCGCCCCGCCCCCCCGACTTCCGCCCGCGGCCCCCAGGATGGCGCCCATGGCGCGGTCCCTCAGCCGGCTGAGGAGCGTGGACTTCTATAAGAAGATCCCCAGTGATCTGACAGAGGCGACGCTGACGGGCGCGTGGCTGTCTGTCACTGCGTCCATAATTATGAGCCTGCTGCTCGTGCTGGTGAGTGGCCCGGCCGGGCACGCGGGCCCTGCATTTTCCTGTTTGTGGCGAGGAGAAGGCGCAGCGAGCATGAAGATGGGCCCGAGGGCGGCGCGGCCCATGGCGGCGGCGCTGGGGCGCCCCGGGTCGGGGCGGCCGACGGAAAACGGCCGAGCGGGGCTGGCCGGCGGGCGGCTGGCCGGGGGCCGGGCGCTGCTCCGTCCCAAGGCACAGGCCGCCACTGCTGCTGGGAGGCAGGAGGGCGTGGTGTGGGCTGACGCGGCGCCGCTTGCGGCATCGCTCCGGCGCGCAGCAACAGTGGAACGGGCGGGGGGGCGCGTGCGCGCCGGCAGCTCGCCAGCTCTGTGGCAAGGCAGCAGCAAGGCAGGGCGGCGCGCTCGGCGCGCTCGCACAGACCAGCACCCGCGGGCGCAGCAGGCCGCTCCATGGTATCATTGCGAGCGACTCCCCGGCGCCGCCGGCACCAGGGCGCAGCCCCGCGTGTGCCGCAGCGGCATGGCTCCCGCCGTTGATCATCGCCACCGGCGCCGACGCGCTCTCACCACCACCCCCCCCCTCCCATGCGGTCCCCATGTATCCCCATGAAAATTTGAATTTGGCAGGAGCTGTCGGCGTTCCTGCAGGTGGAGACCGTATCTGAGATGGTGGTGGACCGCAGCACCAGCAACGAGCTGCTCAAGGTCACCTTCAACATCAGGTGGGGGCGCAGCCAGGTTTGACTCCTGGTCCGAGGTTTGACCGTGAGGTTTGACCACATCGCGCGCTTTCACGCCGCCCCCGTCAGTACCCCACTCGACCTCGCGGCCTGCGTCGCTGCCAAGCACGTCGTACCTCGGCGCGTCCGTTCCGGCTGGCGGCAGTGTTGCCCCCTTCAACTTGTGCTGAGGCCTCTGCCATGTCGCCACGTCCCCCTGAAACCGCGCCGCAGCTTCCCGGCGCTGTCGTGTGAGTTTGCGACACTCGACATCAGCGACTCACTGGGCACGGTGGGCGAGCGGAACTCTTCGCGCACGTGGCGGCCGCCCCGCCTGGCCCCTTCCTCGCCGCCCCTC